ATGTAAGTAGTAGCATCATTACATGGCCGCTCACTTTAACGTTAACCTAGAAAAATGTGTGCTATTCAAGTGTCTGTGCGGAGTGTGGAAGCTGAATAATTGTGTGCTCACTCGGTGAGATCATTTAACTTAAAATACTCCAACAATTTTGGTCGTACAGATAAAAGTAATACATCTTTCAAATCTGTAAAAGGTCTACAAAACGACAAAACTTTGTGCTTTTGTAAAATGATGAAAGCAATGCTTGAACTGTGAACTTGAGCGCATCAAAAAAACTAAACAAAACAATAAAAAAACCATCCCGAAAACTGCAACCGAAACTCTATGCTTGCCTCACAGACAAAAAATATATCTATATAAAGCAAAATGTCTACTTTTAAATGAACCAATTCAAATGGAAACAAATCTTTGCAGATTATGTAATCCGTATGAAATGTGCATTGTCCACTGTGGAGATGACGAGTCAATGTCGTCGACTTCGTCATTGCAGCCGAAAATACTGAAAACACTAGTTTATCAAATAATTATTATAATGTTAAGGCAGTCTTCTTGCAGTTTTTTTCCCGATGCATTCATAATCATTACTTCTGCAGTGCGCTGTGGCAAGCTTCATGTGTGCACTTGAGCGCTGATAGGCTACAGGCAATTAAAGGCTCATTATGAATTATATAGTTTATTAATATAAACTTGCTTTAAATAAACAACTATTAGTCCATCAGAAAAATCTTTATTCGAGGGCAGCCCTAAATAAAAGTTCTTCATTTGATGGTTCCATGAGGAACCTTTAACATCCTTAGAAACTTTCCATAACACAAAAGGTTCTTTAGATTTTTTAGATGTTCTTCACACTAAAAAAAAAGTAGTAGTAGATCTTAAAAAGACCAAAAATGGCTCTTCTAGGCAATCGTTGCATAACTGCCCTTTTGGAATCTGTATTTTTAACAGCGAATACACACAATGTTTTTTATGTAGTGGAAAAAAGGTTCATTTTAAATGCTCTTTAAATCAAGTGAAAGTAGTTCTTCTATGGAATTGCTATGAAAACCCCCTTTTGGACCCTACAGTATATTTTCAAGAGTCTATTGGGAAAAAATTATTAAAATGTTCTTTACCGGCTGTTAGAACTGTTCAAGACTTTTTTTTTTTTTTTTTTTTTTTTTTTGAGAAAACAAACAGGTCTTCCTAGAAGCTCAAATTCCTTCAGCAGTGATCTCGGAATTGGACGGACTAAGCATAATGTGAAAGTTAAAGTCTTTAGGTAGAGTAAATAAAAACACAGGGCCTCACAAACATCAGGTTTCAAAGGTTTTTTTTCTTCAAAGGTTTCTGGATGAAACACACCACCTGCTTCTGCTCCTGTTGAGAAGATGAGTCACAACTCCAAGCTGATGAAATCCTCTGTTTAAATGAAAAACC